GACAAAGGTATACAGTGGCATTTTAACTTGTTGACGGAATAGGTTCCGCCAACCATCAGTACTTTGGGGAAAAAGTTCAAATGCTTGCTGCATCACAAGAAATAAGAACTCTAGCGTTCCAGTGTCATCACTTTCTATAACTACGTGCACGTCTGGGTCCTCCTCCATCACTTTTTCTATTTCAGGTAATAGAATTTCCTCATCTGTGATTCCACCAGTACCCTTTTCGTTCAGTGGTTTTGATGATTTTATGACATTCTTCAAAATTATATCTGAAATGGTAACAAGAAATACTTTATAACATTGATTTGTATGAACATTTGTGTTAATATTCAACTGCTTGATGTATCAAACAATTTTTTTTTTCCTGAAAAGAGGATGGAATATACAGTACCAGAATGATAGGTGTGTGTTTATATTTCAAAACATTTACAGTTTGCTCACCAGCAAAGTACAGTATACCATTCTCAATTTGTGTATCGACTCACAGTAATCTGCCTCTGTATCTGTACTGTCTCTAGACAAACATCGACTATCAGAGTTCACAAACTGATCCGTACATGACTCCTGTGATACAAACTGCTCAGCAACAACACCAAAGAAACTTCAGCAAAATAAACAAGTGTTGATTCATTCCTAAAACAACAAAATACCATTCTCATTGCGAAAAAATATCTCTTTTACTTTTACTATGTTTTATACACTGGCTATGTGTGCTCTGGTGGAATTAACAAAGAGGAAGAAGAGAAGACAAATGGTTTCTGATTTCCAATGACATCAATGAGTGAACTGGTTGTTTCTAAGGTCTTTCAGTATGATCGAAAAATTTACACCCCAAACTCATTTCTCCGTATGAAATTTAATAATGTAACCTACTACTACTGCTGTCTGTAGTTAAACTAAATTGTTGGCTTAAATCTGGTGTACCCAATATTGGTTTCATTGTAAGTGCAGACTTAATAGGTTCAAATGATTTCTGGCAATGTTAATTCCAGATAAACGCAACATCTTTATAAAATTGGTTAGGGGTGCGGCAGCAATCTTTAATAAAATGTCTATAATAACTATATAATCCAATAAAATTTATACTTATGAGCTACAGTTATTTTTCCTATTACATGTCCAAGAGAAATAACAACATTCTTGGCAAACGAACACTTTTAGGATTTAATTTAAGTTAGTGCTGGCGAAAGCGTAACAAAACTTTTTCAACGTCTATCAAATGCTCTTCGAATTACTAAATAACCTTTACATTGAGGTAAATTAGTGCGCTTTAACATTGTAATTTCTTGAGGACCATGTGTTGTTGAGTAATTGTTACAGCAAAGTTTTAAAAGAATAATGAAACAATAAAACTGAAATCCAGTTGAAGGCATTTAATTCTGCTTCACTTTACAGATCAACAACTCTGCTTTACATTGCAGGCAAACAACCAACCACGCTTTACTGCAGGCTATCATCCACTGCTTTTATTGCAGGCAAAAACAACTCTCCCTGCATTCTTGCAGCCTCAACAATTACCTGCTTCCATTTAGGCTCAAGAACTAAAGTACCTGTTCTCCATGCAGTCAAAACCACAACTCCTACTTTATTTGACTGAAATCATTTGCATAATCAAAGCAAGACAGTTTGCATACAACTCTGCTTGGCAAAGGGTAAACAAACAAAAATAAAAGGAAATTAAAACCTCTTGTTCTCCTTCAGAGCATCATGTTCATCATACACTGAAAAGTTATAGTGCATTACATAGTCCAAAGGGTAGTCTGACCTACTTCCATTCCTAAAATTACACCATCTGTGCATTCAACTACGTCCGTATTAATGTTTAACAAATTTTTTTGAAGTTGTACTATGCTGGAACCTGCTACTTGTAGCTTGAATTCTCGGCTTGCTGTTGTTAGTTTACTTTTGCTTGGCTTAATTTCCAAGCCTTCTTTTTACTGATTAATGTACATTCGCTTCCACAGTCTATTATGGTCTTTAACAAGTGTCCTTTAATATGAACTGGAATGAAATAACACACGTCCATTTTCGCAGGTCCAAGCTGGGGGAGTGTTTGGGAAGGGCCCTGTGGTATTGTTGAACCCGATTCTCAAGTCCCTTTGTAGTACTGGTTTCTCAGTGTTCAATCTATATTATTATTCAGATTTCACACAATCTAACAAGCGGAGCAGATATGTACAAACTGTTTCTATAAAGCAGTGACAATTCTAACTCTAATCAAGGAGGGAATCTTAATTATTATACAGGGTTTTAGACCCCTTATTCTACACTTAATTACTAAATACTTAATCTAATTGGTAGAATCCTAACCTAGTCATCCTTCAATTTGTAATGTGGTATTTCCAAAGAAGGTACCGTCCATCACTAAAAGATGACAAGTTAGATCCTACTGTAGTTCTAACCACAGTTTCACCACAGTGGTCTCCTGGTAGCTCTGTGTTTGGTACCACCTTAAAGGTCATTAACCAGGAGGACATTATCACATTCCCCTGCACGGAACAAAGACTGTCAGTCTTGAAGAGCATCAACACGTACAAAAAATTTACTAAATTCACATAAATACATAAAGCGAAATCAAAATTGTAAGTGAAAGTAAAATTAATCAACGTATGTTAAGGTTAAAAAATTAGATTATATAAGTTTGCATTAATTGCGTCGTCATCAATTTCTGCTTGTCCGTTCAGGCCTATGTACTTTGGGGGCATTAGTGGCCTTAAGTTTGTTTGCGTCAGATTCATTGTTAGTTATCTCATTGACATTAATTGACATCAGGTAACTGTCATCCTCGTCAAAGTCCTCTAGTTGTACCTTAGCTTGGGCCCTAGTCAGGATACACATTTCCTTCACTATTACCTCACTACACGAAGAGTCCAAGTCATGTCCTCCTAATAGTACGTCATGTAAGAGTCCATCAATCACAGCTTCTGTACCTTAACCAACCCATTAAGTTTTATCAGTGTACAGTCCAAATTAATTTTAGCTAAGGGAACTGTGATTTCGCCACCTATACCCCGGATTGTGATAAATACCTCAGGTAAATAAAAAGTCGCCGGAATAAATTTAGAATTTACTGCAGTTTGAGTGCAGGCGGAATCTCTGAGAATAGTTACCTCCTTACCCTCTATGATACCAGGTAATGTGCATTTCTGCATTTTAAGTTGGGCTGGATCAACTGGTCTTGTCTGTCAGTCACATTTAAATGCTGACTTAGGGTTGGGACCCTGCTTAGGTTTATCGAGGGGCCTAGCCTTGCAAGTTGTGGCAAAATGACCTAATCCATCACAGTTATAGCATTTAGGTGGTTGTTTCCCTTGGTTGATTTTAAAATTCTCATTAGGGTTGTTCGGAAAATACTTATTGGCATATTGTTTTGGAGCGTAGGTAGATTAGGGATTTGACATTTTTGGCTATTGGGATGAATTTCGAACTGTAAAAAAATCAGACCCACCCCTATTTGCTACTAACGTGTCGTCCATTTCGGCCAACTCTAAAACATTTTTAGGTTTTGTGTCTTTTAAGTTTAATCACAAATCATGTGGAACATTTTTTAGGGTATGCTCCTTCAGTATCAGGTCAATAATGCCTGCAGCATCATCACTCTGAACGTCAGCAAATTTAAGCCAGTTATCAAAATAGTGCCTACTTTCATTAAGCCATTGCTTAATCGTCGTTTTGGGAGTATGTCGACAATTCCTGAATTTTTGTCTATAATTTTCTTCGATGCATTATCTAAAATACTCGTCTTCAATTCGCCATAATTTTGGCAGTCATTAATGTCCATCGCCGCGTATGCTTCTAGTGCTGTAGTGATAATCTGGCTGCCCATTTGGGTTTAGGCCAGTCATTTACTGTCGCAATGCGTTAACAGGTTCGTAGATATCTGTCATCGTAAGACCTTAACTTTGTAATTTTCCGTCTTTCTTAATTGTCCCAAAGCCTGCCCGTGATTGTCTAATTCTTGTTGATTAGGTTCTATATGTAAACGTTCTGTTTCTTCTTTTAGCACTATTTCTTTTACTTTTAACCTAATTTCTTCTAGTTTTATGTGAGTTTCCCTATCAAGCTTCTTAAGATAATCAATCCACATATCCTTATGGACATCTTTGGAAATTTCACTAAAAGGATTATCCATACACTGGGAAGAAGTGTTATCTCCTTTATCTACGGGGTTATCTGTAACTCCTTCATCAGTGCTACTAAAAGTGGCTGATGGTAAATTAGGCATATTATAAAATAATAAAATTCAATCAAAGTTTAAACAAAAAATTTAAAGGCATACAATCGTAACTACAAATGATGTTGTGTTCTCATATAACATATACCAACAAATGTGCCCTACCTTCCTCTTCAGTATAATGCAAATGTTGTCAAACTAAGTGTTTTAGTTGTCCAACACTCGAAGATACAAAATAAAAAACTTCAATTCTCATGCAACAGAAATTACGTCGTCTTCTGTTTTCCACAATTCGTTTTTCAACATGCGCCTGTCCGTCGGCTTCAGCAGTGTTGATTCACAAAAAGAAATTAAAAAGTAAAGAAACTGTGGTCAAACTAAGTCTTTTAGTTGTGCAACTCTCGAAGATACAAATTAAAAAATTTCAGTTCTCATCTTCTGGTTATCACAATCTTTCAACATGTGTCTGTCTGTCAGCTTCAGCAGTGTTAATTCACAAAAGGAAATCCAAAAGTTAAAAAAAATTTGCTCAAAATTCCATAGCCAGTACTTCAGCTAATTCATTGGTAACTTTTTACCACTGCCACAAAACATTGATCAGTTACCATTCCCGCTGAATATATAGGATACTGGATTTTACAAAGGATAAGTTCATATCTGTCCCTTTCTATAAACAGACCTACTTTAGCAAGGTATCAGAGGTATATTTACATTCCAAGGCACTTAACTATAGCCACAATGTGGTCATCTGTACTTTTGAATATGACCATTAATCACCATCAAAGGAAATATAGTAAATTTAAATTTTTTTTCTAGTGAATTGTCATGTTTTAATATTTGTTTCTCAATTTGCTTTGTGCCATTTGAAACAGATTAATGATAACCCACATAATTCTGTAAGATGTACTTTCCATTGGGCCCTGGCTGGCAGTGCATAAGGAGATATACTTTTCCGATGAGTGCACTGCTTTTAACTTGCCCATGGGCCATATTGTATACTGGACCAACAATCTATTTTTCTTCCACAGGATGGTACAAATTTTGCATTTCAGCTTTTCGCTGAAACTCAATAGGGAGATTTCGCAATCTTACGAAAACTATAACTATTGCAAATACTGTACGTCATTCTGATTATTGTCGTTGGTGCCTCAAACATTCTTGATAATATACTTTACGAGCTTAATATGGTCCTTGATTCATGCTACAGATAGGCTACTGCACTCTAGGGGATGGATTATCTAAAAATTTGATGACTTAAACATATTCATTATAGTTTTTGTAAGACTTTTCTAGCTTGCTTTCAAAATGACTTTTTTTTGTTACTGTCATTTGATATATACTTACTGATATATATTATAATTTGAAGACAAGTATATAATCTGGACAAAAATTATGTTTTATATCAATGTTTTAAATGACTTACTGTAATATTTTTTGAATAATAAAGAGAAAGTTTTGAGCATTTATATTCAAGTACAGTAATTTTGTTTCTTTCTTGTGGTAAAATATAAAGTGTTATAAAGTAATATCCTTAGCCATTTGCTGATGATGGTGATGAGGATAGTGATACAGATATGACCCTCACTGCTTAATTTTACAGAATTTATATTTATTAGGCCTACCCCATCATGATTTGTAGGAGTTTATAAAATATAATGAACTTCCTTCCATTATTATTCCTCTGTGAATCTTACTATTCAGTCATCCAAACACCTGGAACTCAAAATTTTGGAGAAGGCCACCCACACCCTTAAGATTTTATAGTTTTCTTTTGTGCATGCTTTTTGACAGCATTTTAAGTACTTGTGCTAGTATTCCTTGCCAGGTATACTAACCCAAGTTTTTCTTTTCAACCTCAACCAAAAAGATAAATTATCTTGGAAACAGAGAATTTGATTAAAGACTGAAGACTCCATTAAACTATGGGCAGTCAGAATGCCTGCTATCAGAGCATGTACTTTAAATGAGGATCATTTGAAGATTCACCGTTATACAGCCAACAGACCTAGAGCTTGTTTCGCATTAATATAAATGATTAAGCCAACATTTTGTATTGGGGCTCATTCAACTTGTAGACAGCATTACTGTATGTAAATAGGAACAGCACTTTTTAAGACTAATGATATTTATTCCACAAGCTTTCACAAAAATCAATTTAATAAATAGAGTACAATATAAGCCAAGCAGAAATTATATTTTTAGTCATCAATACCCAATACTGCTTTTATGCCTCATAAGTATAAAAATATATAATGAATTCTAATTTAATATTAATTACTTTAAATAACATATCATAAAATATCTTTATCTTATACAGCACTAGTAGTGCATGTGTTAAGTCTTTCTTACTTCCAAATCATGTATAAGAGTGGGAGAGGCTAATAATATTACAAACTAATCATGACAAAATCCAATAGTAAATTCGCTAGTGTTCTTTGCCGGACAATAACAATCTTGTCTTTTTGTGAAGGTGTGGTTGGCTGTCTTGGTATTTGTCCGTTTATTTCCTCCAATTTCAGGCAGCAACTTAGAAAACGTGTCGTCTAAAGCCATGTTTCCTTAAAATCGCTACACTGTCGCTACAGTGCTCTCAGTGCAATCGTTGTACTGATTGTATGGAAACCAAACTTAATTTGGTATTCCCATTCAACATACTGTGAGGAAACTTTAAAATTAATAATTTGAAATGGCATAATGAGTTCACAAGTAAAATCCTGAAATATATCACATTTAAAACACTGGAAAGACCAAGGATTAATACATAATGCACTAACGCATCACAATTAAAATAATTCCTGCTGTGCCCTCAACAACGTGATGATGGTGATGATTCAAGCTGGTACTGCCTTAGGCATTTCTAACAACAGCCAAGTAATTAAATGCTCTGAATAAATACTGTTACAATTTTCCACTTACGGGGAGGAGGAACACGTGCAATATATGCAGAGTTAATTCCCTATTCCAATAAAAGAATTTTTAGTGATTTAACCACTCAGTGGAACTAACTTGCTGCTATGGGGTGCAGGGGGGGGGGGGCACAACCTTCCACAGCCTATGCCCATGATGTTGACACTGAGTTTGATTTCAAGAGCCTGTAGCACATCAATATTTTGTCCATGGCTAACCACCAGCTTTATGAAAGATTATCATCAACTAGACGATTGCATCAGAGCTTTGTACGCCACATCCACCTTTTCTTTCAAACGCTTTGGGCAGCTTAAAAGCACCTTCACACTACCTATATCCATCTCCAGGAGCATACCTGTTTAGAGGCAAATAAATCAATAAATCAATGAGAGAGCAGCTTAGCTCAGTCGGCTAATCTGGTGGTAGCCACTGTGTGTGCACTTAACCTTGGAGATCTCTAGGTCCCCGGTTCAATTCCCATCGCTGCCTCTCCTTATGTTTCAACTAGAGGGCTGAAATACAAGTTACATAGCACACCCTCTTTCGGATGAGACGTTTAAGCTGTTGGTCCCGTGTGCATTTATGGCCCATGTGCACGTTAAAGAACACAGTACACTCTTCGGAAAAGAGTAGGGGATTGTCTCCCGGTGTACTGTCCAATCACCACCAGAAGGACCCTAATGGAAATGAGTCTGCTTCTAGACTTTTGTGGGCTATCCTTGGAGTTTACACCGAATAAATCCAATCCAATCCAATCAATTTTAATTTTAATAATTTATTATTATTTCATATTTTTCTCATATGAATCAATCATTCCGTAAACTAGTATGCATGTATTTGTGGCTGTTTTGGGTAAACTTAACGTTATGCTATAATTGTTTTTATACATTTGATCAATATTATCTTGTCTCATTGAAAAGAAATGCATGATTTAAAATCAACTTTTATTCTAAAACCCACCTGTTATTTTTGCAGCAAAGTCTGGATTAATTTCAAACACCAGGTCAAACAAATCATCCCCAATGCGTTCCTTTTCCCTGTCTGAAACACTTGATCGATTCTCATCATTGTCAAGGCAGGCTTTTGCTTTACTAATGGCAGTTTCTAGTTCTTTGTTGGATGATAGGAGCTTCTTGATCACCTCACAATTCAATTCAAGCAGCATGCCTACGTTATTGGAAAGGTGTCAATTATGACATGTTATTACATATTCCGAACACTCAGTACGTTCACAAATACTTGTGAACAAATTTGCAAGTAAATAGGGTGGGAAACACACATTGAAATTGTTTTTATTATTATTTATTTTTTTAAATTTTTATTATTTTTAAAATTTGTATTATTTTTATTATTATTTTATTATCATTTTTATTAAAAATAATAATAAAAATCATATATATAATATAATATTATATATAATATTATTATGTTAAATAGTAAATAACATAACATTATATAATATATAATATATATATATATATAATATTAATATTATTATGTTACTAAAACCTACCTTAAGTGGAACTTAGACAATGGAGAAATTAGAGAACAATTAAAAGGTTGAAGATTGTTATTTGGGTCTTTTGAAAAGTGGTCTCGAATTAGAGGGGTTTTCGGAATTTGAGGGATCTCGAAATTGGATGGTGCACTGTACTATTAAGCCTTATAGTTTGTAGTTAACGCCATAATATCAACCTTTACCATGATGTTTATCATCATAATAATAATTACATCAACACTATTATAATTATTGACACCAACAAAATCAATATAAAAAATTCAATAAAAAATATATATTCTAATGGAAATAAAACCACCAGATTTTGTGGTTTCTTTTTTTATTCAGCTGAAAAAAAAAGAAGCAAGACATTCATTTTGGTGGCTCATCATCACCTAACAACCATACGAATACCATACTTTAATTTCTGTAAGCTAGTACAAGTAGTTGAGTGTTTATTGTAACTAAGCCAGTATGCTAAACAGTACTTTGTATTATCATACCAGTTAATTTTGCACAATTTTCTTGTTCTTGATCTTCAATCCTTTGGTAAAGCTTTTCTGCTAGTTCCTCATTCTCAAAACCTTTACAATCAGTATGTCTAGGAAAAAAAGATAAAAAGTGTGCTATAAATGCTGGATAATGGCACTATGTGCAGAAAACTGATAAAATTATTAGATTGGTGTTTCCAAAATTCCAGGTCGAATTTGGAATGCTGCAGTCATAATTGGTTATGTATAGGTAAAGATGAAGGGCAAGGTAATTAGAATAGGTGCCTACAATGTCTTACCAAGGACACAGTGAAGTTCAGAAGGCATGCATTGAACTGGACCCAAGCATTTTTCAACTCGGTAGCCATCAGGTTGCCTCGTGTTTGGGACCAGCTCCCTAGATTGTTAACCGATGCTGCAGTTTTAGAAAGCCCATCCTCTTTTCTTCGTAAGGTTTCTTTGTATTTTGATTCGCTGTAATGTTTGATTTTTTAATGTGTCGCTGAATTTGGGGTTGGGTAAACCGGCTTTGCTACAGTGATTTGGTTCACTCTGGTTGTCCCTGGTCTCCCCGAATTTTTAGTTTTTTGTTGTTGTTGTTGTTGTTGTTGTTGTTGTAAATGACCAAATAAATAATGAAATGAAACAAAATGATTTAACAAAATATGTTGTAGGCCTTATAATGTTTGTCTTGATATACTCTACCTTTTGAGGGCACTCTGAGCTTCCTTCACATTAGCCTGGAGCAGATGCTTGTCCTGCAGCATCTTCAACACCTTATCATTGCCCATCTCCAGTAACATTCCAGTCAACTGTCCTGCCTCATTGGCTGTCACATCAAGGGATATAACCAGTGAATACAAATGATCACCAAGAACATCCCTCCGCTCTGGAAGTGGGCCGCCGCTCTGCATTATTGCCAACTAGAGTAGAGGCCTGTTTCTTGAGAAATGTATTGAATCTGCGAACAAAACAAGTAAAAGGTTGCATATAACCTATGATGTCATGTGATTGTGAGTTCCATCCATGCAGAGAGGGGCTTTCGCAGATGTAATGCCTACTGTAGCCAATAATACCTACCACCTGAAACTCAACCATCCATGCCATGTGGTCTAAAGAAGTTTTGATTATGGTACCACTACTAGATGGCTGGAATGACTCTCCGACCAGCTATGCCCCTAGTAGTAGTTAGGCCCTAGGGACTACAGGCTTGGCCAAGAACCCCCCCCCCCCAGCCTAGGCCTACTTACACTACCATGGGCCTAGCCGAGGCTAGCCCTCAGGCCTCGGCCCGAGGACCTAACTTATTATTAGCTAGTTAGCAAGGCCTAGCCTAGGCCTACACATACTACTAGCCAAAAAAGTAATAGTAAATAGCCAGGCGATGGCTTTCTGATTTTTTTTTTTCTAATAATTCCCTAACATTAAGGTTCTACTTCTAACACCTAAATTGCAAACTTTTTGATTTGTGTTAATAATTTCAAGAAAACAGTACCCATCCGATGACCCCTTTTTATTATTCTGTGGAGGTGGCCATTTTGAAGACTTATCACTTCCATTGATTGCTAATATTAATGAGCACAAGATCTCAAAATCAGAATTTGTGGCAGATGTTGGCATTTCCAAGTTAAATATTATAATAGATTTTGTAATAAAAAAAAATGCATTGTAAAATAATAGATATGAACAAAATAAATATAAACCAAATAGATATAAAGTCATAGGTGGCCTACTTCCTGCGGATGACTTTCTGGAGGAATTCTGTACTGTATTGTTATAGCGCCCTCGTTACACGAAACTGCCTCTTTCTCATGCACGTCTAGCAAAGTAAGGAAAAGGTTCGAGATATGTTGTAAAAAGTTGCTTATAAATAAGGCAAAAACGTTTTGAATGATAACCGTTAACAATATTTTCATATCTACATTTAATATTGAATCTTTACGTGATAAAATTAGACTCGTCGGCTTTTGGTAAAAAGAAAACAATTCGGTTGAACTGTTTTCCCTAGGCCTAGGCACCATAATTCAGTGGTGGGTTTAGGGATACACGTGGGTATGAGTTAGTTGATACAATAATGAGGAAGTGATCATTTTCATGCTATTATGATGTACAGCAAAACCTAGCCCATAGACCATATACTCAATTTTATTTTATTCTTTAAAGACACTGATAATACTGATGTAAGCTATAATTATACAGTCTCCAATTCGAGACCCCTCTATTTCGAGACCACTTTTAATATTATGCAGTAGCCTAGATGATGCAAATCTGCGCACCTAGCGATTTTTCCTCTCACATTTGAACTAGTTTTTGAGGTATCATCTGCACAATGAAAATAATTTTTAGTATGGGACCCTAAATTACTAACTACTGCTGTAGGCCCCCCCTCCCCACCTTAGACTTGGGCTCCATAAAAGTATTAATTGTGCAGATGATGCTGAATCATAATGTACTTTTCCTAAGCTACTTCTCTGTCTAGTATTTCAGTTTTTTGCATATTTTATTCTGTCATTGATATGTTGGTCGATTAAATAAATGAAATGAAACATCAGTGAGAGTGACAATTCAGTATTTTTTATATACTGCCCAAATGCCCCTTAAATAAAAGACAAGAGGTTTACTTTACCTATCTTGATGGGCATACTGTGTTATTTTTGCTATTTGTCATTCACAACACAAGGTCTGTATGGACTAGCTTATTATGTTTGACATCATCATCCCCACCATAATCATCAGCATACTTCCATCTGATGGGATTTGGCTGTCAGTCAGTCAGTTCTATATACTTTTTTACTACTTTCAGTTTGTATATCATCTGTATTTGATCTCATTGATCATACCTTACTTTACTAGAAATCTGCAACCATGTCTGGTGATCTGCAGTGGATGATGATTCGCAACAACTCAGCCAGCTTGTTGAAAGGCATCAATGGCACAACCTTCAGTTTGGAGCCTAACAACTTGTTGAACCGTAACTCCAAAAAGTACAATGGATTAGTCAACAGGAAGACAGTTGGTGTAGAAGCTGCTAAGGATGGAAAGGGTGTAGTCTTGGTCACCAAGAAACTCAGAGGTAAGCTTGCAATATTTACAATTTTAAAGTTGTTTTTACTAAAAATATAATTAATTTAATACTAGTTTTATTAGGATTTTGTGTGCAGTTAAAGATTATGTGCAATGTAAATGCCAGACCAAATTTCCATACTTTATTGTGAAAGCGATCTCTCTTTGTGCCTTCAAAACTTTTTAAATCGGTGTGTTATTTTGCATTATGCAACTCAATTGATTGGTATAATAGGCCTGTTTCTAAAAAGATAGTTATAAAATAGTTCTTCAATTGTTTCTACAAAGGACAATTATACAATTATCATTGTCGATACAATTACCATGGTCAGTAGATGCGCTTATATAATAGTGCATATAACATTCGTCTCTGCTGTTTGAGTAAGTGTGGATTCAAATATGACTCTTGGGAAAAATGAACACAAGTAAGTTTGGTGTTGTAAAATACAATGAACGTGTTGTTAGTACAGAATCTAAAGTGTAATTGTAGTTTGCTGATTAAGGTGTTTGCCTTCCACTCCCAGAGCTGATTCTAAATTGATACTGACAGAGGACCCCATTGGGGTGTGCATCAGTCAGTGTTTGTCATCGATCTGCAAGCTTAGTTGTTATCTATAATTTTATTTACTGTAATTAAGTATACATATACTTGTAAATGATTTTGTGTGTGTAACACAAGGTATATAATTTGGTTTGGTGCTTCAAGGGGGGTGGGGGGAGTGATGGAGGAGATCCAACAACCAATTTGAGGCAGCTTTCACTAGTGTCCCATGTCAATTTTCAAGGCATGATTTTTTTCTTGTCCTAATTAAACTTGGTTATATATCCAGCATTTGGTGAGCGTACTTTTTTAGAAAGAAATATACAGTGTAAGTTCTAACTTCCCATCACTGTACAGTGTAAGCATTTCATTTCATTGATTATATTGCATATAATATGTTTTTTTTAAATCTTTTGTGTACTTCTGATGTTTCAAATTTTAATGTTACTTTTGTCTCCATTTTTCATGTCTTGTGCTTATGTTTGATTGATGATTTGATGTTTTAATATTGGCCTACATATATTTGTAAACATCCTGTAATTCAGCCTTGACTTCGATTTTTATGTAAATAAAAGAATCTGAAACTGAACTTATTTTCCAGATCAAATTACAAATACATCACAAATACCAAGCACTATTCTTGCAGATTGTCAGAAACCAAAATAATTCACTATACAAAGACTCCCAACTAAACTAAATAAAATATTTAATCTGACAGATAATCTTTTTCTAATATTTGAGAATTTTTTTTTTTTTCTTTAGTGAAGAACAAGCCTGCTAAGTGGTACCGAGAGGTTACATTGAAAAAGGATTCACGCAGGGCTCTAACCAGCATTAGACATGATATCAAGAAGCATGGATATAGGCGTGACCTCAAGATGGTGTGTTTACAGTTTATCAATGTTTTTGTGTTTTTTTTTCTTTATGCATTACAGTAAATCATATACAAAATATAAGTTCTACTGAGCTTGTATTATGTATATGATTACAGTAAATCATATACATAATACAAGCTCAGAAGAACTTAGGTTTTACCTACGTAGGCATCAGGCTTTTTTAAGGAAGATTATTTGTAAAATTTTGTACATAGCCTTAGGTGTCCCAAAACATCAAGCAATGTAGAATCATGTAGTTTTACGCTAGAAATACAATTACTGTAGAATGTTTGTCCATGATCTTTGATCAAAAGCTTGTGCATGAATTGTTGTCCAAAATCCTTCATTTATGTATGTATGAGATGTAGCCTGGTAGTTAAGGTGTTTGCTTTCCCTCTCAGAGTCCTGGGTTCAAACCCTGTCACTGCAAAATTTCTGCTTACATCTAAAAGCTGCTTCACACCCTAAGTCTTGTGAAAGAGACTTGGTTTATAAAGTATCGTTCTGTCCTGTAGTGACTTGGATGTGAATGATAAAGGAAATGGAAAGTTTTTAAATAAAGCATTTTCTAAAATCTGGGTTACAAAAATGTGTTGTACTGCATATATTCAAAACTTAGAATATTTTGATATGAAATACTGTATACTTTATGTGAAAATGTTATTTAGTTGTAAAAGTAGCTCTATTCTACAGTATTCTGTAATCTTGTTGGTTTAAGTTTTAATTTTTTTTTTTTACTTAGGCTGCTCTCCGACGAGCCAGTGCTATCCTCCGAAGCCAGCGACCAGTAAGCGTTAGGAAGACAAAGACACCTCGTGGAGCTAGGAAGTAGACATGTCACTTGTGAAATAACATAATAGATTTGATAAGTGGAATAAAAAATATGAATGGATGAAAGATATTTGTCTGTGGTCTTTGTTCTGGTTAGTTGTACATTTCCGGAGGCCCTGGGAAAAATTTGCTATTTTTCCATTGTATACACCAATTTTAATGATGTTCTGTAGTAGTAATCTAATACATAGTTTAAAAATAGTTTTTTATTAAAAAAAAAAAACATTTTAAACTAACATCAGCGAAACAATAGAAACACTTTAAATTCGAAATTTCAATTCAAAAATCTACACTTTAACCTAATAACTTTGATATGTATATGTTTTATGTTGTTTGTTGAATGGACTTCTTTCATAATAATATTAGAGCCTAATATGACCACAACATAAGGAAGTCACTCTGGCTAAGGGCCTCACTTGACACTTCACATTGAAGGGCCAGTAGTTAATATAAAATCTTAAATATTTTTACATTTTAATCAGTAATCTATCAGAAATACGGGGATTAGTTATACTGTATATCTTTCAGAACCCCGTGCAACACTACTGCGATCCAACAGGCAGTGATTCCATTTTGATTTAGTGTAAATGTTTTTTACTTGTTTTTATTTTATTTTTATTATTTTTATTTTGTACAGGTATTATTCATTTTTTAATATTTTCCACAGACAGACAAATGAATGCCTGAACTGATATTTTATGGGTTTCATATTGCAGTACTTTCTACAAAAGAGATACTGTATATCGTAAGTCATATAACTCGGTGTCCGACTGTGTGCATTGAACATTTGACGAAGACGATAATGTCGCCAAATTGCCAACCGTATCTTCCTCATTATCATCATAATTATTACTTGTCTATAGTGAAGTAGGGAAAATATGTGAATTCAGAGTGTATTCAATAATAGACGTCTCATAATGCACGAAAATGCATTTCAAAGCATCAGAAAACAAAAATTTTTGAAGGAGGCACCGAAGATTCCCCCCACCCCATATCTAGAATATGAGCAGATATAAAACTGAACAAGCTAGCTCTCTTCTCATGACCCCTCACTAGTGAAAGCGACGCTGCTTCGACATCGGTTGTGGGATCTCCTCTTTAAAAACCTATTCAAATAATATTTTTTATATACCTTTTTGGCAATTTAAAAATCATTTACTAGTCGGATATATACTTTTAATAAATAAATCTTTCATAATTAGTAACACCTATAATATTTGCAGATCGATGACGCATTTGCCCCAGTGGGGTCCTCTGTCAGTATAATAGGCTTAATTTATTCAGATTCAGAACATCTGTGCGATAGTTATAATAGGGGAAACGCTAGATCCGCGCTTGACATGTATTAAAGAGAAAAAAGTGTATATTTACAATATGTTTATTTATAGAAAATAATATTGCATACTAGAACTATCAGGAATAAATACACAAATAAAAGCATGTTTTTTTCTTGTCAGTTGACTAGGAAATTTAGTGCAGAAATGAATACAAGTCCCAGGCAAGTGTAAAATGGAACGATTAGTCTGATTTTCTGCAAAAGCTCACTGTGTGTTTGACCTATTTGATTTGGATAAAAGCTAAGCCCACATAGACACTGAATTTCAACTGAAGAAAAAAATGCATCCTAGATTCTTAATCAATCAATATAAATTTTACACTAAATAGAAGAAAATAATGTAGGCTATTATTAACAGTTCACCCCAGAGTTCACAGATTGTGGTTCCTGAGTTAAGCCAAAAGGAAGTAGGTTGAGTCTAAACATACAGGTGGAATTTAGACTTTTTTTCTATTCAATTCAAAACCTAATCCATTAAATTGTGGTCTGTCAGAAATTGGTCAGGTTGAAACCTGACCAGCCGTACGGTGGCTTGGCTACGGCCCTGCGTTGAAGGCAACAACTTCTACTTTAAGCTCTTTTAACACGAAGTTTTATGAATGCGGTGTAAAATGTACAAGTCTATTTCATAATATTCAAATATTTAATTTTGATTAATCATGTCTCAGTTATGTTTAAAAGGACTTAGATAGAAATAAGTTACACTAATAACTTTATCTAATTATCTTTGGTTGATTTCGTTCTCTTGTTTCCCTTGCATGGACGTCATCTGTTTCAGGGGTGGTGCCAGGATTTGCCCGAAGGGTGGGGGGGGGGG